ATATTTATCGAGGGCGAAATCAATATTTTTGGCATGGTGAGTATTTATTCTATACTATCATTAAACACAGGAAACTGCATTGTAAACGTTGATCTTCCATTATTTGTTACTCGTTCCTACAATTGTTTCCATTTGTTCAACAATGCACTGGTTTGTATATGTAAATTATTTTTCATCGTTATTATTTTCGTAGTTTCATCTATCTTTTGACGCTTAATGAATGATACAAGAACACTATAACGACTAAAGAATAATGTGTCTTAGATATAGAATAGATATGATTTGGCATGGGCAAATAATAAAACAGGAAAAGCAAGCGATTTGCCGATTTGTAAAGCTCGGTGTCCGCGCTAGTATCCACATGTTCCAGAGATTGGCTAAATAAAAACATGGGCGTTAAGTTAGTTAGCTTAGTAAGTTAAGTTAAACATGATCGGTTGTAAAACCATTTGTCTTTCAATAAGTCTCTAACGTGCTTTGTTTCTATGATTTCTATCTAAATTTTCCAGTGGTTATAAAAACTTTGAAGGCTGCGTTATTTTTACTCGGGAATAGTTGAGGATGCTTAAAATACATTTGAAAACGTATCCGCTCTGTTGTTGTTTGTTGGATCTCCTTTAGAAATATATGAATATTTGGTTAATTCTGTAAAGTGGGTGTTAAAAACTAAAATATACAGGTTATTGAGTGATAGAAGATATAAAAGTAAAACAATTTTTTTTCTCGATGAAATAGCTAAGATTTTTTTTTTACTCAAATTCCCAAAGAGTAATGCATTTCATTAACATTTGTTACAAGTAAGTGAGCATGCTAAATAATAGAGTTCCTAGTTACTGACAGATTGCTAGAGTCTTCCCCAAGGTCGCTAAAGTATGTATGCGCTATTTCCGCCCATAAACAGAGTGACGTCATTGGTGTTATAGTGTCAACGTCAATTATTGTTATTATTTGCTAATAAATTTACTAAACTTCAGTTTTGACGGCTTATGATGACTTTTAGAGTTATATGTCCTTTATGTCATAGGAATTGTTGTTGATTTATTTTTTTACTTTATTTTTATCTAAAACTGTGTTGGGTTATAATTTTGGGGACACAATTTGTAGTGGGGATGATTTAAAAAGTAACAGAAAGCGGGAAATATAAACATTAGTTTTAATAGGTTTTCAAAAAATCGTCAATTAGAGTGGATTGGACAGTGCTTTCGAAAATATGATTTTAATTTTAAACCAGATAAATCGTTTTAGAAATTTTCTTGCCTCGTTCTGAAATCGATAAATGAGCCATGAGTTGTCAAATTGACCATGACCAGAAACACTCCAAAAACAATTGAAATAACATGACATTTGCCATGTTAGTTGTCAAATATTGTGTGTGAATAGTTTTAGCCGAAAATTTAAATAAAAATGTCTGGGGATCGTTTAAATTATACTAATGAGGATTATTTTAATTTGTTTGTTATTTATGAAAAATATGGCAAAGTAATTTCAAGAACATGTAGAGGATCTGCTGCTTTTTTCAAATTTTCAAATCTTTCGGAGCAATACTTTCTTAAATATCGATCGACGTGGTTCCCGGTGGGACACGCTGTATAGTTTTATGACTTTAGGAATTCTTTCCAAGGTCTGGATGAACGTAATCAGATAAAAATGTAAGAGTTGCATCCTTTCGTGTTTTTTTATAATGTCCTTAGGACGTATCTCAAAAAAAACTTTAAAAATTTTTACAATCTGTATCTTTTTTCTATCTAATGTGCGTCTTCCTCTTCCTAATAATGAAAAATACAGATGTAAAACGATTATTTTTAACTTCGGTTAATGCACTCTTTCCAATAGAATCAGGAATTAGTTCATCTGGACATTCATCTAAATATTTTAAAGCAATAACTGTTTCGTTTGTTTATTTAAGCTAATACCGGAAGCGTTTTTCTTTTTCAACACTTTACTTGATGGATTTTTGTAGAAATATTCGGAAAATATGATCTATAAGTTTCAGTAACACATGTTTACTTATTTATGTGATTTTTTTCCATAAGTAATCAGTATTTGGCGGTTTATAAAAAAATTAGTAATCGTGTTGTTTTGGACAGACTTAAAAAAAATGGGTTTCGAACTCAGATTACCAGTAAAAAAAAAACAGTTACCAGACCTGCGGATGTTCCCATGTTTGAGAATTTACGAACTGTTGAATTGTATAATCTCTTTGTGTATTTTAGAGAGTAATAAAAATGTTACAGTTAGCCGTACTGACGTTAGATGCGGAAAATAGCCAACATCTTGACCTAATTAACATACACATAGACACACGACCAAGCGAATTTGTAATTTAGCCAAAAAAAATTCATAGTTACGGCAAATGGAGACAATCATAGACACATTTAGTTATTATTGTTGTTTCTACAGGGTGCAATAAAATTCTAAGGAACTTATTTTTAGAAACAACAGAAGGAATCTTTGGATCTAGATCTGTTTAGACTGCTAGGCGTATTTTTACTTTGCAGACGGTACATTAAATTCTAAATTCAGCGGTTTTGAAGATAGTTGAAGAACTGAGTTTTGCAAATGTACACCTTTAAACATGAGATCTAGTTCTAGGTTTGTTTTTTTTGTGTGGCCAGAGAAGCAGATCTGAGCAGTAAAAGCAGGAAAATTCTGTTTATAGTTCATAGTAAATTGTATCTACTCTCATTTCGTATATTTAAGGAAACTAAGGGAATAATATAACCAATATAAGATGTAAACCACCAGTTCTAGTCCGTTGTCGATATTTTGATCTCATTTAGCCATTCTCGGTGACCTTTGAACAGAGACGCGCTGATCAGGGCCGTAATAAGAATATTTTACTTGCGCAGGAGAGTAGGTATATTAAAATAGATAATAAATCGTAATAAACATATAATTGAAAAAATACTTAATTTATTACTTTGAAAACTTGATTAGCTTTATTATTATTTTGCAAGGACCTTTCTGTTTTGTTTCATTCCCTACATTCGACAAGTGTGACAATAAACGCACAATATGAATCTACACTCTGTTTACTGCATTCCAGTCTTACAAAACAATGATCAACACTCGAATAAAATATAATTCCATGTGAATTTTTAAAAAGAAACAAGACATTTTTTGTTGTGGTTTCAGTAAAACGCATTTACCTATAGCAACGTGATCTTTTCGTTGTTCTTGCAAATATTATACTAACAGTAGTTAAAATATCCTAACAAAACACCCCACTTGATGATTTCTCTCAGTGTATCTTTTGTAATCTCCGTGCCGTTTCAGTGTGAACAAATCAGCACCAAAATCTACCAAAAATGAAGCATTGTTTTTTATATTAATTATTTCTATACGAAACAAAAAAATAATAATCATTGGTGATTTACATTAACTGAACGCATTACAGTATATTTTCCACCATATCCACTCCGATAATTATTATTCCTTAAATGTGACAAAATATTCTCGCATAACCTTTGTTTTTGTATTTGGTAAATCTCCGTCTTCATTTTTTATTAAGCAATTTGTCAATTCATATTTTCTTCACACTTCACTTAATCCAATAATCATAGCTACCTTTGTACACAAATCTGACGTTTGTGCTGGTATCTGGTGACGTCGTGCGCAGACAGGACTAAATTGAGCCGACTGAGGAGCTCACCACGCTGCTTGTACGCCATTTCTTATAACTAGTAAACGCAATCTCATGTAATTCGTAATATTTCTGGTACAAGAGAACCCAAGACATTTTCAATATTTTCCTCTATATCAGAAGGTAAATTATTATAATCGAAATCACTCACTTTTATTAAATACCAACGAATATTCAATGATAGGTAATTACAGGTACGCCATTTTGATTCACCGTAGATTAGTAACATGTCTACATATTCATTAGAAGTGGCATTATTGGAAAAAGAAACCATTTTTCAATTTTACCGAAAGAACAGTAGGTATTGATAATGATAGTTAAATATTACAAAGTATGTAAAACAATTAAATAAGTTGCATCAATACGTCAATTGTTTTTAGGTAAACGGTTACCTATGCTTTTTTCCGAACCTCTACAACTTTTTAATAATGATTTTATGGCTTTTCTAAAACCGTAGAACTTTTGTATCAATAATTATTTCACTTTCGAGATATTGCCTGGGAAAATAGCTCTGAAACACCCTGTATAAACATTTTGATTGTTGTCAACGAAACAATGGATTGGCTTAGTATTTTAAAATGATACGAAGTTAAATAAAAAATGTCGGTGTCATCAGATAATAATTAAGATTTAAATTTTTTCATGCTAACAAAGTTATGTATTTGACACGCGCCAAGCTATCGGTGTACCATTGTATTATAATTTTTACGATTAGTAGGTATCATAATCCGTAAGCATCAATGATCCTTGTAACAGATAAATAACTATCTGTGATAAATCAGTATTTGGAGAAAAATTACTAGAAAATAAAGTTTACATTGATTTAAATTTGCATATTAACTTACAGTTTTGAATTTGAAATTGATATCCACATTTCTTCTAATACCTTTTTTACCTTCTCTGGCCTGGATTGAGGTAGACGCTTTTGTATCTTCCTCAACGAAAGAAAAAAAATACGTTTGTTTACGGTAATGTAAACCTGATCTTGATGCTGTCATGTTGGAAACCGTTTGACAGCAAAAAATGACAACAATCGACAGGTGTAAATAAACAAAGGAATCGAATTGCCTGTTTGTCTGTAACTGATCCAGTGCTTTTTGGAAACTGTCACACTAGTTGTTTTTTTTTTGAGACCATAACCTAGCAAAAAGCACATTTTTCGCTACCTGTTGAGCCTTACCCGTAACGCAAAAGTTTACGCAACAGAACAAAAACCGGTTGGGTTTGGTAAAGCGCTAGACTTCCAGCAAAGAAAAACAATCCCAGAGAATATTTTTTCAAAAAAAAAAAGAAACAGTAGTGGGGGCGTATTTTTCCAAACCGTTCGCATGGTTATGACTAAAAATAATCGACTTACGTTCATGGTGGGAAAAACTCCCGGCAGGAAGAAAATTTTCTAAAACCCGTTGCACATAGCCGAAGAGAACACGGACACAGAACTGTTCGGCCAGAGGGACCCTACGACTGGCCGTAATCTAATTTTAGGCGGCCGCCTTGACACTTTGCCAAAATTAAAAGGTATAAATAAGACGGGGCATTCTTGGACGGCGTTAATCCTGTGCGGCAATTGCCCCATTTTGCCTCCTTACTCATACCACAACTATCTGTCGATATGCAATCGCACCCGAAGATTAAAATGCATTTTTCTCTCCCTCAGATAAAGCCTTAGTCATTAACTGCGTTCTTCTTCATATATCGGGCAAGCCGCTGGCTACATTTATTTAGAAAAGCGTGCGTTAGTTCAAGCTGATTGAGTATCCGCGGCGGGGTTGCCAATTTTTCCACACCTGCTTTGGTGTAGACAGTGACGGTTCGTACATTTCTTCGTACAGGACCTTCAGTAATGTTCAAGTCCAGATCGGATTGCTTTTGGTGCCAAGCAAATTTAATTTTCTTATACGTCACTAACTATCTAAGACTCTAGATCAAATGTGAATCCGGGGACATTCGCAATGTCTTAATTTGCAGATTTTAGTAGTGTTTACCAGGATTTCTATGTTTATTTGTAAATTAATTCTCTGCTGAGTATCTAAAAGCAGTTCTTTCTGAATCGCGAGAATCTGCAGTGCTTTTACGAATTTTTTAAGATTGTTTTATTTACTTTTTATTACAAATATACCGTGGAGTGAGAAATAGCGCTGGTATAGTCTTTCCGATATCAATTGAAGAACCAAGAGATGACAGTATGTATCAGGTTTGGTCGTTGACGCGGTAACTCGACGGAATTGAAAAACTTACCATACCCATATACAGGCCTGATCGAACAAACGTGGAGGTGGTAGAAATGTATACGCCCACTTGAAGAATGCGAGCGCTTGCAAACGAAATACAAATACAGCTACATTGGGCCACTGGGTAATAAATCTCAGCGGTTGACAAGTGGTCGACAAATTGCCCAGCAGTGCAGTGCAGCAATGCGGAATTTGGTGTGACTCAGGTAATTTGAATTTATTATAAGCACTTTCTATTAATCATACGATTACGAAAGGGAGAAATAATATTAATACAACATGGCATTTTGGAGACCTTTTGAAACGAAACAAAAGGAAATTTACCATCAATATAATAAAATTGTTTGAGGACATAAATAATTAAAATATGTTTTTGGCCAAATGAACATATAATAGAAATTTTCTGCACATTGTATACAAATTATTATAATTTTTTACCATTGTCATAAAACTTTTTTAAGGACGCCTATGAAACTGATTAAATTTTATTGACAGGCGAATTTTAGAAAGATTTTTAATAAAACCATTTTAATACAAACAATAAACATAAAAAAATATATAAATAACTAAAAAAATAAAGAAATTCAACGAAAATTGAGTCAAATATAACATAATATGTTTTCTCGGATTTTTTGAAAATGTGTCAACCATTTTATAATAAAATCTTCATGCTTGTCAAAAATAAGCTTTCTGTGTATATTCATCGTTGCTAGGCCATAGGTTTTTATTCTTATTTTTGTTAATTTAAAATTCCAGAACTAAATTTTTAAAACATGGAAATGTATTACTTTTTAACAGAATATTGTATATTTTTAAATTGTTTTGTCAACAAATATTTATTATTAAAGTTTAAATAAATAAAATATTTTATTAAAAATTGCCAATCTTATTTTCTTAGCTTATGAAAATTTTTGTACTTTTTTTGAATTCCCAGGGGAGGCAGCTGCCTCCCCCCCTGGCGACGCCCTTGACACAGGGCTCAATTTCCTTCTTCAAGGCGTGGGTGGTCGTGGGCTTGTTGGCATAAACTTTAAACTTCAAAAAAACCCAAAGAAAAAAGTTCAATGACGTTAAATCGCATGATCTGGACGGCCAATTCCACCAAAACGGGAAATTACACGACCAGGAAATGACTCATGCAGTAATTGAACTATTTCTCGGGCTGTACGGCATGTGGCATCGTCTTGTTGAAACCACATGCCATCACGTCATCCATATATCGCAATTTAAGTACAAAAATTGAATTCTCATGTCGCGATAACCAGCACCATTAACTATTATTACCTCATCAGCCGCATTTTCGAAGAAGAATGGTCCGATGATGTCTCCAGCCAAAAATCTGTACCAAACAGTGACACGTTGTGGATGCATTTGTTTCTCAACAATCACTCGTGGATCTTTTGAACTCCAAATGCGACAATTTTGTCGATTAACGAAGTTATCAAGATGAAAATAAGCCTCATCGCAGAATATATTGTTCCATAATCCATTTCACGAATTCTCTTCATTCTGTGTGGTCAGTAGGCTACAGTTCTTGAGCCAATTGAACTTTGTATTGAATTGATGTTCCTCGACTCTCAGCAACGCTCTCATGAACTGCTTCGATGTGTTGTGTTGAACGACATGTTGAAGGACGACCAAAATGTTTAAGATCACTAATTGACCCAGTCTCCCCGCATTTTTCATCAAGTTAAATCACTATTCCGACCATAATTTTAAGAAAATTGAACTATAGATGCCAAACCTACATTATTTTAAAGATATTGTTCAGCAATGAAATCGCGTTTTTTTATGTAACCCTTCCATTTTCATCGACTAATTATACAGGGTGTCCCATAAGCACACGACATTCTGCGACATTATTTGGCTTAAAAGAAGATTATCTAACCTAACGTCCATTAAAAAAGACTGACCTAACTTCCATTAAGAAAAAATGACTAGCTCCTGCTCCTGACTGAAAATTTTTGAAAAAAATGATGTTTTTTGTAATATCTGAAGAATGTTAAGATGGATTTTAATGAAACTTGCTGTGGACTTGTTCCTAAGTAAGACTCATATTTTGGTGAAGCAACCGAGTCCATCCGCCTTGGGCTAGTGGTAAATTCTTGCGTGTCTTGGTACAAGAATTACCAGCGCTTTTTATTTGGTCGCTGGATTCAATTATTTTTTTTTTATTGATGCATCAGTCCTATTTCGAGATTTTCGTGCTCTTGGTAAAATCTTGTAGCATTCATAGTTTTTACGCAAAAAATACTTTCTGCTTCGTTGCGACTTGACAATGTTAGACGTATCGCAGTAAATCTGCCCTTTTAAAAAAACCACCTTCCCCAAAAAAAAATAAGCCAAATTTTTTAACCAAAAAAAAAGGGGTCAAAAAAGTTGGAAACCCCCCCTCTATCTCAGAAAATACTGATCAAACAAAAAAATGATTAGGACAAAAGTTGCAGAGTTTTGAGTGATCAATCCAACGGCGACCTTGATCATGACCTTAAAGGTCATTTAGTGGTCAAGTTGAAAATTTTAAATGGAACCGTATACTTTTGACCCCGGAAATTGTAAGAGCGGAAAATTTTACGTTCGAATGTGACCTTGACCATGACCTTCAAGGTCATTTAGAGGTCAAGTTGAAAAGTTTAAATGGAACCGTATAATTTTGATCCCAGAAATGGTCACAGTATTTCCAACAGCCTGTCTCCGACGGTTCTCATCAGTCGAAAAATTACCGAGATGTTTAGGTTAAAAGTGAGTAATCACGGTGACCTTGACTATAACTTGGAGGTCGTTTACAGGTCCATTTGAAAACTTTTTGAATTAAATTTTTAGTCCAATATATTAGATCCATTCCGGGGTCAAAAATATACGGTTCCATTTAAAATTTTCAGGTTGACCTCCAAGCGACCTTGAAGGTCATGGTCAAAGTCACACTCGAACGTAAAATTTTCCGCTATTACCAGTTCCGTGGTCAACAGTATACGGTTTCATTTAAAATTTTCAACTTGACCTCCAAATGACCTTGAAGGTCATGGTCAAAGTTACTGTTGGATTGCACACTCAAGACCCTACAGCTTTTATCCTAATCATTTTTTTTACTTGAGCAGTATTTTCTGAGATAGAGGGGGGTTCCAAACTTTTTGAACACCCTGTATATCAATATTGAAAGTAAAATGGTCACAATTTTAAAACCTGTCGCGACATTTTCTTAAGGGAATTTAGGTAAGATCGTTTTCTTTTAAGCCAAAGAATGTCGCAGTTCCTTTTTGATCATGTGCTTATGGGACACCCTGTAGAATTTTTTCGTCAATTACTTGCATCATAATATTCTTGAGTAGTAAAAGTTGTCATTGTCACACTTTTCCATCACAAGCTTATTTGATGTTGATATTTGCTTGAAGATTAATTTTCTGATATTCGGTCTCATATTGTACCACAGGATCACCTACTGGGGCCACAAAGGTTTCTTAGGCCAACTCCTGATATATATATTTGTAAATCAGATAAATAAAGCACAAGAAGACTTTTTCATGTTCTTTTTTTTTTATTGTAAAAAATTACAAATCAAAATAGATCGTATCTAGTGTAACGTAATTATAATCTATTAAATAAATAGATTTAGCTATTAAAAATCACAATCTCAGATTTGTACAAGTCTGCGTCCCCTAATTCGCATGAAATATAATCTACACAGGCAAGTATAAAACTATTTACTTGCTCATAACACTTGAGGATAAGTTTGAAGTCATAGGAAAATCCAGATTTATGTTTAGTACAGTATTAAACCTTTTAAATAGTCGAATAAGTTTTACAAACATAAAAAAACGACCTTGTATTCTAAAAATATATGTAAAACTATCGAAAGAGTTTAATAAAGCATTACAAATTTCTAAACTAGACTAATTACACTGAGTGATCATTAGAATCAAACGGAGAACAAATTTTGTATAGGCGACTGGACTTTGTAATCTGGAATGTAAGGAGCTGGAATGTAAGATAATGATTTGACTAAATGTGAAAAGAAATAAAAACCAATGTAACCATAATCAGGTGCGGAGAAAGCCCGGTGCCCTCCACAGAAAAAAAAAAAACGATCTAATAATACATGTTAATAATTAAACTTCTGTATTTTGTCAGTTCCTTTTGTGCTTAATTGCACTTTTCTCGTAATAATTTATATCTAAACGCCTTATATTTTCGTAACATTATTATATTAGAACGAATATTTCATAAATTCAAGGCAGGGTCTAATAATCATTATTAAATAATGATTATGCAAAAAGATTCCTAACACTATAGAAAATGTATAATACTGTACCTTACCTCAGTATACCAAATTATAAATGAAATAGATATGTTACAATTTATTCTAATTGTCTCAAATCGACCTAGGATTTCTCTAAATCTGGCTTCCTAATCATCTATAGGTATCGATAAAATGACATTCTAGATATGTCAAACGCCTATTTTGACACAAAATCTCACTACAAAGTAGGCGACTAGAAGAACGATGGCCACCAGGCCGAATATCGTCAAATATTGCACGTAGGAAATCTCTTGGTCTTTCGCCTTACAGTGGGCCATGAGTCCAGTCTGAAACAAAAGAATTCTAGAAATAAAAGCACCTCTCCAACCTTAAATACACATTTTATACGACTATTTCCTCGCATACATCAACAACCAATAGCAGCTCGAAAAATTTTAAATTCGACCAATCAGCGCCATATTTCACAGATAGAATATAACCTAACTTTAGGTAAAATTCTGCAGTGATGATTTAAACGAATTTAAAATATAATTGCACCAAATAAAAGTGTTTTATTTATCTATAATTGCAATACAATACAATATACAGGGTCGGAAAGTCCCCATGGTTCATCGGACGTTACGTGAGAGCGATAAAGTCAGAAATCCATGCGATAGAAAAGGATGGCTATAATGAAGGCGTCTCATAGTCACCGCCCGTTCCGCCCTTCCACAAATAAGATCCACTTCCACTTGTAATTCAGCGACCGGTGGTCATCTTTGTTTTCGTCGTTTGGCTTTTCTTTAATAGATGTCACTACTTATACAATTTCGACTTCGGTATTCCGATATGTTAATACCATCCGTTAACAGAGGGCAGCACAACGCGTAACAAAGAAAACTTTTTACAGTAGCTAGTAGATACCTCTGTTTGTAAATCTAGTGACCTTGTTTCCCCTACTGAGAAGTTATTCAAATGGAGTATAGTGCTCAGCTGCATTTAAAGTTCATTTAGTTGTTATTTAAGTATACTTTTTAAAATGACTTAAAAATCCCAAGAAATAAAGCAAAATTCCCTATTTCCCCAATTCCAAAAAAATCTGTAGATCTGGCATCACTCTTTCTAGGGCTGCGCCTCACCTTAGACAAATTGTGCTGCCCTCTGTTAACGGATTGTATTAACATATCGGAATACGAAGTCGGAATTGTATAAGTAGTGACATCTATTACAGAAAAGGCAAACGACGAAAACAAAGATGACCACCGGTCGCTGAATTACAAGTGGAAGTGGATCTTATTTGTGGAAGGGCGAAACGGGCGGTGACTATGAGACGCCTTCATTATAGCCATCCTTCTCTATCGCACGGATTTCTATGACTTTCTTTATCGCTCTGACGTAACGGCCGATGAACAATGGGGACTTTCCGACCCTGCATAAGATTAAGCTTCCTGATTGATCCTATACATGTATTTTGAAAAAAAACCGTTAATGATTGAAGCCCCAGTTTGATCACTTAAAATTCTGCAATCTTCAACAGAAAGATTCAATCTCCAAACTATTTCTTACGTATGTTACGTACTCTTTTGTCCTTGGATACCCTGCGCACTCGGTTTCGGAGTCTTTTCGAACTACTGCCTTCACCTTCTTTTGTCAGTAACCAATAGTTCGCCGATTTAAAGCCCATTGAGGATGCCTCCCTTCAATTTTGCACCACATAAATTCACTAGTTATGTATTGGAAAGTATTTTCATTTTTATCCAAAACTTTAAGAAATTGTTTCATCAGAGCAAATTCTACAGGGTGTCCCGTAAAGTATGTTACAAACTTTGGGTGGTGATAGTACATAAAAAATATGACTAAAAACTCTAATAAACATAACCTCTTAAACGCACCGTTTTGAAGTTATAGGCCTTAAAAGGTGCAACTACAAAAGTAGTTTTTGTGACGTAACTCTTTGTTGGAAAAAGAAAACATAATGAAATTTTCAGGGACTAGTCAGCTTTAGGAAGCCAATAAATAATGTGGATATTAATAAAATTGAGAAAGCGGAAGGGTGTTTTTTTATCACCCTGTATCCTATTTTTGGCCAAAAAAAGTTTTTCTGCAAAGATACAGCAAATATCATAAGATTTTTAGAAAGACCATTGAATTTAGAAATTTTTTTGTCTCTTGCATTTTTTATGTAAAATGATTAGTTTTCTAATAAATTTACAAAATGCAAAGGGAGTTTACTCACCGCTAGGTGTTAAATTTGACGTATTCAAAAAGTAGGCGCCTGTCACTTTTAACATAGTTGACATTTGTTACCATATTTTAATCGTGTCTGTTGACGAATTATTAATTTGTGAGTACAATGGCGGATAACAATCGTTTTACTAATCAAGAATATGCCGAAATGCATTTTATTTATGGATTATGTAATGGAAATGCAACAGCTGCTCGAAGAACATACATAGAACGTTATCCGCAGAGACGTCAGCCGTCTACACAATTATTTACTCGGATTCACAGACGGATTATTGAAACTGGTAGTGTGGTACCCCGTTACATACATTGTGGTAGAATTGCTAGAAGACTACCCGCGCAAGATGAACAAATTTTGAGATCTTTTGAACAAAATCCGGGAGAAAGTGTGCGAAGGGCAGCTAATCAGTTACAGCTTTCCAGAATGTCAGTTTGGCGTGTTTTGAAGGAAAACGGCCTTTATGCCTACCATCTCCAAAAAGTGCAACATTTAATGCCTGAAGATC